GGCTTCAGAAGTAACACAGAATAATTCGCACAATCAAGAAAAAAACGAAAAAATTATCGGATTTGGATCGGTTCTCTCTGCCCGATACCCGATCCGAGAAAAATGGCACTATTGGAGCCGATACAAATATTGGATCGGTGCATCCCTACCCCGGACAACTGCGCTTGTGTGGTGGCGATAAGTCCAACTTGATAGAATGTACAGAGGCAGTTGTCCGGGTAGTGAGTGAGGTGAGACAGGGACAGAAAGTCATTCGTGTGGTCCTAAAGAGAGCAACAATAAACAGTCCACAGGGGCGTTACACCGGCACATAGTCTTAGCTGGTAAGTCAACAGTGGACTTTCCTCATACATTTTCAGGCTAAATTTTTCACACTTTTCTCATTCAGTTTTTAAAAAAAATCTCCAGTTTTATGCCACGGGGGTCAGGTGTGCGGTGTAGGCCAATGAGACGTAACTAGGAGAGTGAAAGTAAAAAAAAAAGAGAGACTGGGTTAAAGAAATAAAAAGATACATAACGCATGGACATACAGTGTGTGTGAAAATATTCAGATGTAACCACCTTTGTCATCTTTAACATTTTCATAAGTAACTGTAGCCTAAATTAATTACACATTTTTCCGTAATAACTGTAACAGATTACAGTTACATTTATTTTGTAATTAAATTACATAATTCCCTTACATGTGTTTTCCCCAACACTGCTAAAACTCTATTCTACATTTGTTTTAATCACTGCAGAAAAGATAATATATTAATAAATGCTGATTAAACATGGGTTAAAAGGATATAAGGGAGCGAAGGGAAGGTGATGGTGCATAAGAATCCACTCCCCTTCACTATAAAAAAAAAGTATAAATTGAACAAAATACAAAAATTGTAATAAAGCTTGATGATTTTAATTATATCATGAAGTAAACTCTTATATAAGGATGGCACTTATTAGATATTGTTGATTTGGGATGAACTCCATCTTTGAGTTGATCAGAATCTCTTGAAGATGAACTCTGTTCACTGTAACAACTTTAGATAATGTTTCATTGTTGTGGCTGGTTTGGGCAGATTTGTATAGAAAATATGGACTGTATTTCTTGTTTTATTGAGTCATGTTTGGTGAGGACACAGTGCCATATTTGAATGTGCTGGATCTGAATTCAGGCATGATTCCATGATTCCAGACATTTGTTTTTTACTGCATAGAGCAGTCATCCCAGTGTGGCTCCCCTCGTGTTTTTTCCAGATAATCTGGCCGTTTCAATCTCTTGTCACAGTGTGAACACTTGCAAGGTTTCTCTCTGGTGTGGCTCCTCTCGTGTTCTCTGGTGTGAATTCTCTGGTGCAGCTTCAGTTCAGCATCTCTAACAAAAGTCTTCCCACAATCAAAGCACATATGATCCTTCACACCGTTGTATCTTTTCTGAAGTAATTTTAAAGTACCCAGCTGACTAAAACCCATTCCACAAAAAGGCTTCTCTTTTGTATGAACCTTAAGGTGGTCCTTCAGCATGTCTGCTCTGAAATTTTTAAATCACAGTTAAATGGTCTTTCTCCAGAATGATGACACAGGTGTATTTTAAAAGTACATGCTGTTCTGAAAGTCTTCCCACATTGATCACATGTGTGTGGCTTCACTCCAGTATGATCTGTTATAAGAAGTTTAAGATTTTTTATTTTAAGGGTTTCTGTGAAACCCTTCCCACAGTGACAGCAGGTGAAAGACTGTTTGGCTATTATTTTTGATAAATTTAGTTTGTGAGCGATTTGAAGATTTCTAACAAGTTTTGACATGATGATGTTTCTCCTCTGCCTCACTCAGTTCTTCACTCTCCTCACTGTCTTTCATCAGGTCAAAAATGTATCATAGCTTGTTATAATTATAATATTTGGATTAGCTAATGGAATTAACTTTTAATATTATGATCAATTAACCTGTCGTTTATCAACTGAGAAAGGATATGTTTCGTGGCCACAGAAAACAAGTCTTTCTCAGCATGTTCAACGCTTAGAGCATGTAGCAAGATCAGGAATCGGTCAAAGGTGACCTATTATGCCCCTTTTTACAAGATGTAAAATTAGTCTCTGCTGTCCCCAGAGTGTGTATGTGAAGTTTTAGCTCAAAATACCCCACAGATAATGTTTTATAGTTTGTAAAAATTTCAACTTTTTGGGTATGAGCCATAACGCGTCGTTTTTGTGTTTGTCCCTTTAAATGCAAATGAGCTGCATGACTTTCGCGCATGAAGCGTTATCAATCCCTCTTTCAGGAGGAACCTTTGCACAACTCCAGCACTGAACTGACCCTAGTTTGTGAGGCAGTCCGGCGTAAAATGATTAACACAAACATATTGGACGTTTCCTTTTTTTTTTTTTTTTTCTGGGACATTTCCTTCGAAAATGAAATTGAACCACAGTGTCCTCAGCAGTCTATGGAGATTCCTATGTTTGTTGGTGTAACCCAACACACAACACTTGTAATGCCTGCAGCAGCTACAGCAAGAAAACAGTAATGGCGACTGCTGCTTCTCACTCAGGGCTGTGTCTATGCTAATTGGACAGAGAGTGTCACAAATGGGCGGGACTTTCCCCAGTATGACGTCATCGTAGGGAGAAATCTGGAAGCGCACGTTTGGAGAGACTTTGTTTTATTGGGATTATAAAAAAAATGAGTGGGTGGATTTGTACCATTAAAGGCTGGTTGTTTTCACACACTGCGGCCACACAACTGTGCCTCATATAAGTGATTTTGCATAATAAGTGACATAATGAGTGAGCATTTAAGTGACAACCTGCAGGCAGAATCAGAACCCAGAGAACATCTCGGTTACGTATGGTAACCCTCGTTCCCTGAGGGAGGGAACGGAGACGTCACGTCGGATGACCGACGAATTGGGATCTCGCTTCGAGAGACCAATCTACTTCGAGTGTAAACTAAATGAGCCAATGCACATTGGCATGCGATTATTGCATCCAGCTGCCGCTGATCACAGCGTGAGTATAAGTAGGCAGCAGTTGCAGTGCATATTCAGGCATTCGCTGAGGAGCTGAGCCGGTGACCCAGCCGCTCAGCGGTGGTACAGGAGCTGTGGCAACGGGACGTGACATCTCCGCTCCCTCCCTCAGGGAATGAGGGTTACCATACGTAACCGAGATGTTCCCTTTAAGTCGGTCACACTCAACCTCACGTCGGATGACCGACGCATTGGGATCCCTAACAAAGGGCCACAGGTACTGCCCCTTCCAGTGTCCTGTAGAAGCCACCTGCTCCCCTACTTTTTGGTGTAGGCAAATAGTGCATGTAAACTTCTGAATGGGGTCATTTTTATAAATTCAACTATTTTATCTTATGGACTATACGTAAATATATTTTATGTTAACTATTTAGGTCAGTACTAAATAAAAAAAAATAGAATGCATTTTGTATGATCCCTCTTATTTGGGTAAAATAATTAACATTTTGCATATACTTAAGTGTTTGTAAAAAAAATGTATCACAACTTTTAAAAAAAAGTTTTTAAAAAGGCTTAAAAGTTTAAAAATCTTTTGTAAAATGTGTTTACTGTTACTCTTGATCATTTTAATGCATCCTCGCTGAATAAGTCTATTAATGTCTACAAAAAATTTAAATTAAAAATGCTGAAAATTCAGCTTTGATCACTGGAATAAATTATGGTTTAACAGATATTCACATACAAAACAGCTATTTTAAATGATTATAATATTTCTGACAAACATATTTGCATCAAATAAATGCAGTCTTGTTGAATGGCCAGTATAAGATGCATAAGAATAAGTATAACAAGAATTAGATTAAAAATCTTAAAAATTCTAAACTTTTATTATACACACACACACACATACACATGCACACAAATTTTGGGCAGATATAGATATTTGAGATAAATGATAGGTGACGCAATAAGTTTTGTAAGTCTTCTATTTTTAAGAGTTAATATGTAATTTTCAGGTTTCACTGTAGTCATAATCTGGCATAATTGTACAAACTGATATGTCTGTATAAACAAAATGGTAAACTTTGATTCAATGTGATTTTAAATGTTATAACAGTGATTTTATAATGTCTTAGCTTGAATCCATAGGCAAACCGATGAACAGTACTGTTTTAGGGCATTTAATGAGCCCATTAGTGGTCTTTCGCTGCCATCTAGTAGTTATAATTACAATTTCTCATACAACAGTGTTTTTAACCTTTACAACCATTATAGTGTTATTTTTCTTTCTTAAATTGTGCATGCTTGTTTAGAATGAAATAATGTATCATTTTACACAGTTTTGTGAGATGTTGTAGGCTTTATTTTATGATTTATAGGCCTTTGGGTACACAATGTAAAGAACATATTATAAAATGGCTGGTTTATAGTTGTAAAAATGCAAATGTTCAACAATTTTTTTATAATTATTGACCTAGAGAGTCTAGAGAATAGTACTGCACTGATTTTATTGATTTTGAGTTTAAAACCTACGACTAGTTCACAAAAGTAGGTTTTAAATAATCTCACATTTAATTAACAGTTTTATTGACAACATTGGTCACAGAGGCAAAGTTGTTCAGAATGCAAGGTCTTCCCTGAAAGAGACGGCGTTTGGATGGGAGCATATGTTGTTCTAGAACTTGGATATACCTTTCAGCATTGATGGTGCCTTTCCAGATGTGTAAGCTGCCCATGCCACACGCACTCATGCAACCCCATACCATCAGAGATGCAGGCTTCTGAACTGAGCGCTGATAACAACTTGGGTTGTCCTTGTCCTCTTTAGTCCGGATGACATGGCGTCCCAGTTTTCCAAAAAGAACTTCAAATTTTGATTCGTCTGACCACAGAACAGTTTTCCACTTTGCCACAGTCCATTTTAAATGAGCCTTGGCCCAGAGAAAACGCCTGCGCTTCTGGATCATGTTTAGATATGACTTCTTTTTTGACCTATAGAGTTTTAGCCGGCAACGGCGAATGGCACGGTGGATTGTGTTCACCGACAATCTAATTGTAAGTCGCTTTGGATAAAAGCGTCTGCTAAATGACTAAATGTAAATGTAAATGTAAACCACAGTCATCACTCAGTCAATGAAGTTTGCACCAGGCATTTCTGAGTCTGCTAAGTCAACCTCTGTCTTCACAGATTTAACATTCCTGTACAGAAAGTGCACTCCTGTTATTCAAGAATCAGTCAAGTCAAATGTTGTCCCTCAGTCTATAAGGTATGTTCCCGACTTGTCACCATCTGCCGGGCCAATTCCTGTCTCTGCTGAGATGACCAAGATCACTGCCTCTCCGCCTGTGTTGGTCAAGTTAACTACAAATACTACAGAGGCGGTCAAGCACGCAGCCACAATCTGTCGGAATAGGAGGAGAACGGCCCGTGCTGTGTAGTCTAATGCCCTTCCTGTTATGCCCATACTTATGAATCCTGTCTTGTCCACAGAATGTGTTCCTGCCTGTCATGTCATGTCCACAGAGGCACTTTAACAAAGTCGTTTGCACTGCACTCTTGCGTTGCTTGATCTTTTTATTTTGGTGCGTCAATCTGTTGAGTTACTTGGTATAAGAAATTATGATCCGCACTCACGAAAACAATCTTCTTTTTTCTTTTATTTTACATTCATTACTAATGGGAAAGGCCCAAACGTTTCGGCTCAAAGCCTTCCTCGGTGTGTAAAGCAATTCAATCCCTCCACCCACTTTTCAAATCACTAATTATATTGACGTCATCATTCGTTAGCTAATGTTCAATTACCACAATCATTAAATCATTTCCGATTAAACCCTGGATAATTTACATATATCCAACACAAACCATCACATCCACTATAGTACACCTCACAATATACCCGTGACTAAAACAATAGTTATTTGGGATCACATATTTATCACTATTATACAAGCCTATAGTTTATCCTATCAATCATCAATATCTACTCCAATTAACCTTAAATTGTACAACAATGGAAAATTCAATAATTAAGAACATCAGAAATACATCAATCATTATTTTACACACTGTAAATACTAAATGTATTATATAGAATATTAAAAATGAATACGACCAACCATAGTTCATTAAAGAAAGATCTAATTCCTCATTCATGCCATTTGGGTTCAGTGATTTAAGTTTATGAATCCAGAACGCTTCTCGTCTCAATAGTTCTTTATTTATATTACCTCCTCTACGTGACCCAAAAACTTCCTCTATTCCTATACATTCCAATTGCTTGATGTCATGTCCCAATTCGTTAAAATGTCTCACTACTGGAGAGGTTATGTCTTGACGTTGTATACTAGATTTATGTTCATTCATTCGTAATTTCAACTGACGCAAATATTTTCCTATATATATCTTTTGACGGGGACATTTTAACATATAGATCACATTACGAGTTGAACAGGTAATACAAGATGTAATTTTAAAACATTTCCATGTTACTGGACATATAAACTCTTTACACTTGACCAAATTCCTGCAGGCGTCACAGTTTCTACACGGGAAACAGCCTTGTATATAAGCAGACTTTTTCCTCCTTACTACATCCGAGTTTACCATCATATCCGATAGATTTCGTGATCTTTTAAAAGTGAATAACGGGCGAGGTTGAAATTTTGAAATCCACAAAATGTTGAAATCCACAGAGGCCCTTCCTGAACAGCCCACTCTCACTGTATTGGCCACTAAGGCCATTCCAGCATCTCAGAGTTTCCTGCTGTCCCAGTTGTGCCCCCAGAGGCTGTTCCTGAGCGGCCTGCTCTCAGTGTTTTGGCCTCTACAGATGCTGTTCCTGAAAGTCATGTGAAGTTAACAGATGATCCTGTTAGTCACGTCATGTCCACAGAGGCCCTTCCTGAACAGCTCACTCTCACTGTAACTCTACTACTAAAAGTAACGACTAAAAGTTACGACTAAAAGTTGACAAAAATGCAATGACTTTTCGTCTATTTAAACTATGAAATTACTAAAATGTGACTAAGACTATTACAAATTTTTGTCTCAAGATAAAGACTAAGACTAAATAAAAAATGCCAGTCAAAATTAACACTGGTTCATTGATGATTCAATGATGTTATCATCCAGTTCAGCTCTTTTTAATAGTGTCTGTGCAATAAGTCAACCGTCCACAACTAAGCAAGCCAAAGGCGACAGTGGCAAGGAACCAAAACTCCATCATGACAGAAACGGAGAAAAAACCTTGCGAGAAACCAGGCTCAGTCAGGGGGGCATTTTTCCTCTGACCAGACGAAACCAGCATGGCGTGGTTTAATTCCAGTCCTCAACACAGGTCAGATTGAGCAGAAGACTCATCTGGTTCTCGTGGTCTTGTGCCGATGGTCGTTGAGGTGAAGAGTTCTTCACAGGGGATCTGTCTCTGGGGCACATCTAGTTGACGTGCTCTCCGCTGACATTCAGGGCTGTAGAGGTCGTTTCTAAGTGCTGTAGCAAATCAGCTCATGGGGAAATATGAATAATTAATCATAACTAGTTATAATTAATTATAATATTTAGATCCACTGTAGATATTTACTTGACCTCTCAGGGTCAACTGTCTGTCAATTCTAAGAACATTAATTTCCTGGTTAAGGGAAATAACTTCCTTACTGTACAATTCTACAAAGAGCTTGTAGCATAAATCTGCATGATTAAGTGACTCCAGTTATGAGCAAACAATGAACAACGTCAAGTGTGATATAAGTAAGGCTTTATTAACTACATAAGCACTTAAACTAATCTAACATACTACATAAACACTTAAACTGGTCTAACATACACATAAACACTTAAACTGGTCTAACATACACATACACACTTAAACTGGTCTAACATACACATACACACACACACAGTTTGTATAGGAAAGGGTTAAAGCTTAATGAAGTAAAAGGGAAGAGAAATAAGAATATGAAGTTTGGAACCATTTGCATATTCAGCAGATCTACCCCTGAGGGAAACATCAGATTCTTAGTTCAAACACACCTTTGTAAAAAGGTGCAAATGATACCTAATGTATCAATCAATAAGACTAAGTTTGAATACTTGCACGTCTCATCTGTCTGAAAGAAAGGTTTGATGTAATCTGAAGGTTCCAGTTGATCTTTGCTGAAGTTGTTTGATGAAAAAGAACCAGTTTTGTGTCAGAGAATCTGGGAGAATGGAAAAGACAAGGCCGAAGCCTGGCACGAGCTTAGGGTGTCCGGGAGCGTTTTTCTCACATCCTCTCAGAATTCAAACAAACCACCGACTCTGGGCGGGTCACATGAAGTGCGGCCTTTAAAGTCTGCAAAGATTCACGCCTCTCAAGATGGGCTTGTCCAATGAGAGAGGCTGA